CTCCCTGAGTTCAGTGTCCCCAGCTGCTCCATCTGTCCACATCATCATCTCTGTCTCCATCCCTGGCATCTCTGCCTCTCTGGGTAGGGTCCCGCTCTCTGTTCTTCTCACTTGATGGTCCCAGGGACCTATACTCCTGAACTGCAAAATCAATCACTCCCCTCCTTTTGTCAAAAAACATCTACCTCTATATTTCCGACTCTCACAATCAGGCCTGATGGCAATTATTCACTATTGTACCACAAGAGATTTATCTCCATTTCTTTTCGACAGCTGGGTTCCAACAGATTAGAAATCATTCAGTGGAGATTCTACCTACCCCTGCCCCATCTGGAACTAGGCTCCCTCTTGAAATCTTGTAAGCCAGTCATTCTTGCCTTTATGTTGTTGTTGTTAAGTGCTGTGGAGTTGATTCTGGCCCATAGCAACACTGTAGAGGAGCAGCTGGTGAGCTTGAACCACTGATCTTGCAGTTCAATGACTTTGCAGTCTGACACATTAGCCCACAGCACCACACCTGGACTCCATAAGTATATGTAAAGTTCATCAAATTGTAGCAGGTTACTCTTTCTTTTTTCTCCCTCTTCTTCTTCTAGTCGAGTTCTGATCATCAGCCATTGAAGCCAGGTCAAGTGGGTACTATCTGCAAGTATGGGTGTTCTTGTGCATCTCTCCTCACTTCATATCAGCTGGATGCTTCACTCTCCACTCTAGTCCTCTGTGGCCATGTCACTGCCTCTGGGTCCAGGAGTCCCCGGGTTTTGCCATACTGCTGGCCATCTAGGTGTCCACCCAGGTTCACAGGGGTCTATTGAATATGGTCATGCTTAGCTCACAACTTCATTACTGTTTTTTCTCCCTCTTCCCCTTATTGGTGATCAACATGGTCACCAGCCAGACCATATGCCTGCTCATGTATTCCCCTTGAGTCTCAGTCTTGGAACGGGGTTTGCTCTGAGGGGTCCCGACCACTTGCCTTGATGGCTTCCAGGTGAACAGCTTACTTGTTCTTGTAGTAATCAGTCAGACTGCCACTACTGTTTCTGATTTTTCCTGCTGATCTTTCTTTCACGAAGTATCTTCTGTTCTTCTAGCTGCTCCAGGCTGGTCTACTTGTCCTTTCCAGTGGAAATTTCCTAACTCAGTCAGTTCTGGATGGGGTTTTGGATTCCACCTATGGTCTTATGCAATGTAAAGACTCCACAGGAAGCCTCTTTCACTGGGCAACTTCTAGCCCCCTTTAAGGTATTCCAATCAGTTATAGGCAGAAGACACACTTAGAAGCTTTCTGTAGTGATGTTTCTGGCTATTCCTTTCTCCCCCCTCTCAAGTGTCTATTTTACAGTGGTAGGCAAGGAAAACCAAGATTCAAAAGACAGCCAAGCATCTGAACATTATACCCCTCTTTTACCCTTCAAACCATGCCTCAATCCCTGTATCCCGGAGCCCTATTGTTCCAAGGATGTGCATACCTCATCACTTACCTCTGTCCCACTTAGCCCATGCGAACTTGCCTAACTGTTCTCCCATCAGCCATGTTCTTCCATTCCCCTCCCCTTCTTGTGTATTGTCCCCCACCTCCGCACCCCTCCAGCACCCAAGCTATCCTGTGTCTATTCCCTACCCTGTGCTCTATCTTCTCCTTCCTCCCTCCCCCCCTCCCCTCCTATACCTCCTGGTGATCAAATATATATATAATTTCCCTCTGCTTTTGGGTGGGTTCTTTTTCTTAGTCTTTTACAATAATGGTCCTATGCAGAATTTCTCCTTTTGTGACTGACTAATTTCACTCAACATAATATCCTCAAGGATCATCCATGTTATATGGTGGCTTGCAGCTTCCTTGTTGTTCTTCAAGGTAGCATAAGATTCCATTGTGTGTATGTACCACAGTTTGTTTATTCATTCTTCAATTGGTGGGCACTTAGGCTGTCTCCATCTTTTTGCTATTGTAAGTAGTGCTGCTGTGAACACTGGTGTGCATATCTCTACTCATGTTATGGCTTGTATTTCTTGTGGGTAAATACCAAGTAGAGGAATTGCTAGATCATAAGGGATTTCTATTTCCAACCTTCTGAGGAAGCACCATATTGCTTTCCAGAGTGGCTGGACCATTTTGCAATACCACCAACAGTGTAGGAGGGTCCCAGTCTCTCCACATCCTTGCCAGCAAAAAAATGCATTATCTTTTCATTCTATTTTCCATGAACGTTTTGAAGTCTTCCTGTGTGTGTGTACTTATATTTATATTTCTGCACTTGGATCTGAAATACCAATTGCTTACATAATAGAATAAGGAGTTTTGGTTGAAAGAAATAAGTAGCTTAAGGGGGGGAAAGAGAGAATAATGGAAGAAGATCCCAAAGTCAAATAGAACAGCCATGTCTCCAGATGGAGTGAAACAAGCAACTGGAAGGTCATCATGTATAAGGCAGTGCCAGGCTCCATTCTCTCTGAAGCCACAGTGTCTTTATCTTATTTCTCTGTCGTTTGTTCATTCTTCTCTATCACTTCCAGTGATGTACTTTATTCTTGTACATGATTCTTCAGTGTTAAGGCTGAATCAAGTAGTGACCCAAATGTACAGGTGTATGACCCTTACAGTCCTAGTTGACTCAGCTCAGCTTAGGACTTGGCCCATTTGAGTTCAGTGTCTTCTTTTAGCCTACTAACCAGGCATAGGTAGGGTAACCTTAAGTCACATGACCAAACAGAACAGCCAGTGCTGCGGAAGGTGGCTTTTCCAAAAACGGAGACATAAATGGAAAAGAAATGATTGCTAAAGTTGTAACATAAAACATTATACTGCAGGTATTTGTATATAAAATTATTCTTTTTAATAGGATCTTTATTCATCATAAAAGCCAGTTACAATATACAATAAATCAGTGATCTAAAGTTGCAATAAATGATATTTCATATTCAGAATGAGGAAAACTTGAGTCCTCTTGTATTCTATTTTAGTGAACCCACACTGATGCATTCAATTCTGGGTACCCTTAAAGAAGAATATTGGAAGAAGTTCCAAGAAAATTGGGGTGGGGGAGAGACAGATGCCAGGCGTATTTAGAAGCAGAATCTTTGATGTGGTGAAAACATGAAATTATTTACTACAAATGAGTAATTAAGCACAAGTAAACCTGTGCTTACCTTATTGCATAATCATCCCTGTAACTGAGGGGAAGAGAACAGATTTAGGGCAAAGAGATTAGATTCAAAGTGTTTTTCCTGTTTGAAATTTTATGCCAAAATGTTAAGTTCTGTAAGAAGCACAAACTGTTAAAACTGGACAGGAATAGAATTTATTTGGTCCAATGCCATAATTGTTCAAATGAGGAAAATATTATCTGAAAAGCCAGATCATAGAACACTTGGCAGCAGTGATTTCTTTCCCCTTTATGGAAAACTCATCTTAAAACAAGCAAGTACTCATAGAAATGTAAAAATGTTTTCATTATTTTAGTTTCATGAAAATATTTCAAAAGTAGATCTTTCTTAGAGATACTATGGAGAAAAATAATAACTCCGTAAAGTCCTTTTCTAACTCCAGGATTTTGCATCAGAGGCAATATGATGTCAGTTAAAAAATTTCTGTCTGGTGTAATTATTACTCCATTGCATAGTACAGTATATATTGATTTCATTTAACAATCATGATTTTGTAACATATTCAGTTGAACGTTATTTTTCAGACTTTAAAAGAAATCATTGCAATAAATGCACCTTCTATTTTCTAGATGCCTCCTGAAGAAAAAGTTTGTAAGTACTGCGGAGTCAGCTATCTAATTCTTCATGAGTTTAAGGCTATGGAAGAGAAAGTGAAAGCAATGGAAAAAGAGATGAAATTTTATCAAGGAAGTGTAGAACGTGAAAAGAGACTTCAAGAAAAGCTACAGTCTCTTAGTGAAGAATTCCAACAGTACAAAATTGACAATGAATCCAAAGCAGAAAGGTTGGAATGTATTACTTATTTCTATCATATATTTAGTTTGGAATAAAAGTACAGAAAATAATTAGGATTTGAATGTTTTTCTAGGATTTTCCTGGATGAGGAATAATTTATACTTTAATAATTTCAATTTATTAATTATATTAACCAATTATATTTTGAAGCATTCCTTTAAGGCATATATTTACTGTCTGAACAGTTAGCAATCAATAAATTTTGTAACTGTTAAATCAAGTTTTTTTTGTTTTCTTGCCTTGGTATATATAATTTTTATCATTAGGGAAATTTGTGTATCCAAAACCAGGCAAATTTTGATATTTTTATACCTAACGTTTGTTTTTCAATGATTTTTAATTTTTGTAATAAGATTTTCATGTTTTTAAAAGGATGCCAAAGCATTAAAATTAGTGTATAATTTCAGATAATTGAAATTAGAATAAAATTAAATAAGGAATGTATGCCTAAAGAATCTAATCAGCAATTTAACCTGAATCTGACACATCAAAGAATGTATACAATTTCAACAAAAGGGTTTTTATTGCTGTTCTTTTTTCCTATGAATAAAAATTTCTCAATTTAAAATATTGACAAGTGACATTAGTAAATTTTGAGCTTGTGAATTTAATGAATGCTATTTTGAGTCAGAACTGACTCCATGGCACATAACAACAACATTTTGATGTAAAGGTAAAAACAAAAAAACTCCTAGAATTAAGTACTTTCATTAAATTTGGTATACATTTTTGTATAAAAGTTTATAATAATATTGCATGTCAATTGAATGATGATATTCCTTAGTTTTTTACCTGGAAAATTATTTCTTATAATTTGTTTAATTTGTAATTTTAATTAAAAATATTTTAAAGCAAATATGCAATTAAAATTTTTAATTTGGGTGGTTTTTTTGCCTTCAGAGATTCTTTTGTTTCATGTTATACTCTAATTTTTAATATTTTTTTTATCATAAGAGTAATACATAAATAGATGCAATGAAAATTAAAGCCAAAAAGAAGTATGATGAATAAAAAGCAAGAAAGTCTTCTTTTACTCTGTTGATTGCATTCTGTTGTTGTTGTTTTTTTAACTTTTTATTGTTAATGGACTAAAGGTTTACAGGGCAGATCATCAGTTTTATATTTAGCAATTAATTCACATTTTGTTTTATCTCATTAATTGCAATCCCTTCAGTGTAACATCACCGGTTTCACCTCCTCCTTGTGTTGCTTGTTTCCATTTCTTCTTCCTAAGTCTTCTTTGTCTTGGGCAAATGCTGACCTTTGGATCTCAAATGATTGGTTATTCTAAGGTGTGTATATCTCACTAAATGTTATTGATCTTCTTCCGGACCTATTTGTTGTTTCACTGAAACTTGAATCGTGGGGGTGAGCTTAGTTCCAGGCCTGAGGGTGACAAAGGTCCACCATCTTGGGGTTCCATCAGTCTCTATCTGACCAGCAAAACTGGTCATTGAAATGATTCTGACTTTTGTCCCACATGCCTCTCCCACTCTGTTTTTAATGTTACCATGTACTGTCCAGTTGGTTCTAACTCATAACAACCCTATATAAGGTTTCCAAGGCTATAAATCTTTACAGGGAAAAAAAGTACCTCACCTTTCTCTCATGGAGTGCCTGGTGGTTTTGAACTGCCGATATTAGGGTTAGCAGTTCACTGCTTATCCTACAACGTAACACAATCCTGTTCCACTCTATCTAGGACCTTTTAATGTAATCTTTCTTAGAGCAGTTGGCATTGGTAACCGAACACCATCTGGTTTCTCTGATCTCAGGGTTGTAAAGACTGATGTTCATGTGGTCCATTAATCCATTGGAATCATTAGCTAAAACCACTTTTAATGGTTTGCTGTATATTTTTCTAGATTCTATATGAGTTTACCTTTGTTATATATTTCTTTAATTTATGTAATATGTTATATATTAACTATTGTTGTTGTTGTTAGGTGCCATCCAGTTGGAACTGACAGTTGACCTAATGCACAACAAATGAAACAGTCCTGGGCCAACCTCACAATTGTTGCCATGCTTGAGCCCATTGATGCTGCCACTTTTCCAATCCATGTCGCTGGGAGTCTTCCTCTTATTTTTCTGATCCTCCACCTTACCAAACATGATATCCTTCTCCAGCGACTGGTCCCTTCTGACAATATGTCCGAAGTATGAGAGATGAAGTTTGGCCATCCTGGCCTCCAAGGAGCACTCTGGCTGCACTTCTTTCAACACAGATGTGTTGGTTCTTTTGGCAGTCCATGATTCTCCTCCAACACCGAAACTCAAAATGCATCAATTCTTCTATGGTACTCCTTAGTCACTGTCTAGCTTTCACATGCATATGAGGTTATTGAAAATACCATGGCTTGGGTCAGGCACACCTTAATCCTCAAGCTGACATCTTTGATCTTCAACACTTTAAAAAGGACTCGTGCAGCAGATTTACCTAATGCAATATGATCTCTTCACTACTGCTTCCATGAGTGTTGATGGTTGATCCAAGAAGAATGAAGTCCTTGACAACTTCAATCTTTTCTCCATTGATAAGAATGTTGTTTATTGGTCCACTGGTGAGGATTTTTGTTTTCTTTATAGGAAGAAGGAGAGATGAACTACTTCTGAATATTTAGTCAATGAAAACCTTATGAATATTAACTATATAGTATATCTATATTTTCTTTTAATAGACTGGTTTAAAAAAGAATTCTTTTGATTTTTGTTGTTGAGACTATACACAGCATAACACACATGTACAATGTTTGAATAATATTGAGTTTTGTTCCACATTTTCTGCCACTTTATCTGGGGCCTTCAAATGTGATCCCTTTCAGAGCAACTGGCAGTGGTAGCCGGACACCATCTAGTTCTTCTGACCTCAGAGTTGTGACTGACTGTTCCATTGGTCCATTGGACTAGTTGATTTCAAGCATCTTCAATTTTCATCACTTTCTTCCTTCTGCATATGGAAAGACCAATAGTTGCACTTTAGATGACCACTCATGAGCTTTTAAGATCCCAGACACTACTCACCAAAGTAGGATGTAGAACCTTGTGTTTGTGGATTATGCTATGCCAATTGACCACGGTGTCCTATGAGAATATGGTCCTGGTCCCCAGATCCAGCAGCTCATTGCCTTAAGATGTTTGGTAATATCTAAAAACATTTCATCATTTTGTCCCTTGTATTCTCCCCCACATTTATAGGTGTGCTTTCAACAAAGGGAAATACCCACATACAGATATCTTCTTTCAAACCCTTATATACTTGTGGATATACTCCCACTCTCCCTCCCATATCTGTTCCACAAATACTATTGTTCCAGGGTTTTGTATATAACACTATAACACCTCTATCCCTTTAACCCTTGCGTACCTCCCTGTGCCTTCACCTGTCTTCATCATTCTTCTGCCAATTTCCCTCCTCTTGTATATTACCCACCCTGTCACCTGAGATAATGTGTCTACCCTCTAGTCAGTGAATTACTTTGCCTTCCCTCTCACCCCGGTAACCATCAAAGAATGTTTCTTTTAGTATGAAAACCTTTTATTAAGTTTTTTACCGTAATGGTATCATATAATATTTATCTTTTTGTGATTGACTAATTTCACTCAGCATAATGTCCTCAAGATTCAACCATGTTATGAGGTGTTTCACAGATTCACTGATATTCTTCAATGGTGTATAGTATTTCATTATGTGTATGTACCACATTTTGTTTATCCGTTCTTCCATTGATGGGTGTTTAGGTTGTCTCTGTTCTGAGTTCATTTTGTTTGTGGGTTTTCTTTTTCTTTTCTTCATTGCCGTTGTAATGTTACTAAATTTTTCTGATTGTCCTCTTTTTATTTTGATGTGAAGGTGTTTTTATTTTCTTTGTGATTTTGCTGTAATTTATTAAATTTTCCCCCATTTGTAACAGTCTATTTTTTCTCTAAATCTACTTGACTTCCTGTATCTACACTAGTCCCTCTTTTTTTCCTTTGTAGTTTACTTCATTATAAAATTTCCTTTTTCTTATTTATATGGTGGATTACATTGATTGTTTTTCTGATGTTGAACCATCCTTGCATTCCTGGTATGAATCCCACTTGATCATGATGTATTATTTTTTTGATGTGTTGTTGAATACTGTTGGCTAGGATTTTTTTTTTTTTTTTTTACATGTTTTATTGTGAGTTATGTGCTAGTTTAAATGGGAGAACATTAGCTTTACATTCATCCTATTGTATATCATTTCATTGCCATGGTTACAATCCCCTCCATGCATCAGTAACTAAGAAAAGAGTGTACCCTGCAAGCCTGCCCCCTGGTGGTCAGCACACAGCCACTCCATGTCTCCACATCATTTTTTCTGCCTCCACCTCTGGCGTCACTGTTTCTCACACTCTGCTCTTCTCCTTTAATAGTCCCAGGGACCTCCGCTCCTGGACTGCAAAGTCAGTCACTCACCTCCTTTTGCTATAAAATGTCTACCTTTACATTGCCAACCTTCACAGTCAGTCCTGATGACAATTATTCACTATTGTACCACAAGAGACCTATCCCCATCTCCTTTCATCCATCCCACCCAGACAGATTAGATACTACTCAGTGGAGATTCTACCTTACTCCTCACCCTCTGGATCTAGGTTCCCTCTTGAAAGCTTGTAAGCCAGTCGTTTCTTGCCTTTGTAACTCCCACATTTTGGGTAGCCAATGTCCAATTTGCCCATCCCTGTCTACCCTGTGTATGGAGGGGATGGGAATGATCCTTGCTGTAAAGATTTGTTCCCTCTTTGGAGCTACTGCATCCATAGGTGTAGGTCAAGTTTATCAAATTGTATGAGATTACTCCTTTTTTCCTCTTCTTTCTTCTTCTAGTTGAGCTCTGATCATCTAGTCATTGAAGCCAGGTCAAATGGGTATGAGTATTATCTGCAAGTGTGGGTGTTCTTATGCATATGCCCTCTCTTCTTATCAGCTGGATGCTTCACTCTCCACTCTAGTCCTCTGTG